GTTTTTTTTGCTGACAAAATCATTTTTAAAGTGTCTGTTGTTCACTGTCTACTTTTGACAAAAAATCGTTTAAACAAAAAAAGGGAACACACCACGTGTGTAGGAGCCCTGAAATGGCACATGGCAGATTGGCGATGGAGACAGCAGCAATGGGAGGCGGTTCAGGGACCCATTGGAGACACTGTGGACACTGGGCAGCAGCATGAGGAAGGAGCCCGGTACAGGGAGCCCATGGCAGATTTAGAGGTAGGGCCTGGCACAGCTTATGGGAGGCCCGTAATCGGCCAGCACCCTATGAACAAAAAATGGTACACACCCATGAGGCACTGAAAGTCACATGAGGAGACACTGAAAGTGGCAGAACGCTGCGACAGCAGAGAGGCATACAGGCCCATGCAATATAGCATGACACGCACAATGACCGTAATCGCCAAACCCAAACATATAAATACACCCACATGTGAGTTTTCTTAGTCCACGATCAACGTGGCGCAGGAGACAGGCAATGAGGCCGGTTACAGTGCCCAAAGACACTGTGGATGGCAGCATTAAGGTACAAGCTGGCAATTAGCCTGCAGCAGCAATTTCCCGGAATCGCCATCACCCTATGACAAAATGGACCCCTGGCTGAGGCAGGCAGAAACATCGCCGTATCTCTATCACGGTTGCCCAGCCAACCGAGAATGGCGAGAGCCCCGCTGACATATGTGCTAACGCAAACGCTGTGAGTCCCAAGCATGGGCCCCCTGGCCCACGCTTGATCTTTGCGCCACATAGTCTACAATACCTGCACGATTTAGGCCGCGCCTGTGTAGGATGTGAAAAATTGGCAGCACCGCCGAGAAGAAACTTTTGTCCCCCGCTACTCCTCACTGCGCTGACTGCTACTTCCATGCCGTGCACACCGGCACGCGACTACACTGGCCGATAGGGTAGGCTGCAGTGGAGCTGGATGCTCTACAAACCGTTGCCGTTTGCCTCCACTGACACTGCTGCGACCCTGGCTGCCTCCTGGCAGCAGCAAATGGGAAGGCCGTACAGGGACCCATGACACTAACTCTGGACCTGGCATAGCAGCATGAAGAGGCGTACAGGGGCCCATGGCAGATTACGGGCCGGCCTGTGCAGCAGCAATTGAGAAGCCGTAATCTGCCAGCACCCTATGACAAAAAATGGAACACACCATCAGCAGTGTGTGAAGGAGACCTGAAAAGTGGCACAGGCAGAGAGTGTGGGCGATGGAGACTGCAGCAATGGAGGTCCGTACAGGGACCCCCATGAGAGACTCTGGACCTGGCAGCAGCATGAGGAGGCGGTACACGGGGCCCATGGCAGATAAGGGGCCTTGGCAGCAGCTATGGGAGGCCCGTAATCTGCCAGCACCCTTTGACAAAAATTGAACACAACCAGCAGTGTGTGAGGAGAACCTGAAAGTGGCACATGGCCAGAGTGTCAGCGATGGAGACACAGCAATGTGGAGGCCGTACAGGGACCCATGAGAGACTCTGGACCTGGCACAGCATAGGAGGCAGTAAGGGGCCCATGGCAGATTAGGGGCCTGGCAGCAGCTATGGAGGCCCGTAATCTGCCAGCACCCTATGACGAAACAAAAACAATGTGAACACACAACAGTGTGTGAGGAGACCTGAAAGTGGCACATGGCAGGAGTGACCGCGATGGAGACAGCAGCAATGGGAGGCCGTACAGGGACCCATGAGAACACTGTGGACCTGGCAGCAGCATGAGGAGGCGGTACTAAAGGGGCCCATGGCAGATTAGGGGGGCCTGGCAGCAGCAATTTCTGGGAGGCCCGTAATCTGCCAGCACCCTATGACAAAAAATGGAACACACCAGCAGTGTGAGGAGAACCTGAAAGTGGCACATGGGCATGAGACACTAGTGGACCGGTACAGGCTGGCAGCAAGCATGAGGAGGCGGTACAGGGGGCCCATGGCAGATTAGGGGCCTGCAGCAGCTATAGGGAGGGAGGCCCCGTAATCTGCCAGCACCCTATGACAAAAAATGGAACACACCAGCAGTGTGTGAGGAGACCTGAAAGTGGCACATGGCAGAGAGTGTGGCGATGGAGACAGCAGCAATGGGAGGGCCGTACAGGGACCCATGAGAAACTCTGAACCCTGGCAGCAGCATGAGGAGGAGGCGGTACAGGGGCCCATGGCAGATTAGGGGGCCTGGCAGCAGCTATGGGAGGCCCTAATCTGCCAGCACCCTATGACAAAAAATTGAACAACCAGCAGTGTGAGGAGACCTGAAAGTGGCACATGGCATGAGACACTGTGGACCTGGCAGCAGCATGAGGAGGCGGTAACAGGGGCCCATGGCAGATTAGGGGCCTGGCAGCAGCTATGGGAGGCCCGTAATCTGCCCTGCACCCTCTATGACAAAAAATGGAACACCCACCAGCACAGTGTGTGAGGAGACCTGAAAGTGGCACATGGCAGAGTGTGGGCGATGGAGACAGCAGCAATGGGAGGCCGTACAGGGACCCATGAGAGACTCTGGACCTGGCAGCAGCATGAGGAGGCGGTAACAGGGGCCCATGGCAGATTACGGGCCTGGCAGCAGCAACTGGGAGGCCCGTAATCTCTCCCAGCAACCCTATGACAAAAAATGGAACACACCAGCAGTGTGTGAGGAGACCTGAAAGTGGCACATGGCAGAGTGTCGCGATGGAGACAGCAGCAATGGGGAGGCCGTACAGGGACCCATGAGACACTGTGGACCTGGCAGCAGCATGAGGAGGCGGTACAGAGGGGCCCATGTGTGCCGGCAGAATTACGGGAGGGGCCTGGCAGCAGCAATGGGAGGCCCGTAAATCTGCCCAGCACCCCCTATGACAAAAAATGGAACACACCAGCAGATGTGAGGAGACCTGAAAGTGGCACATGGCATGAGACACTGTGGACCCTGGCAGCACCGCATGAGGGAGGCGCGTACAGGGGCCCATGGCAGATTAGAGGGCCCTGGCAGCAGCTATGGGAGGCCCGTAATCTGCCAGCACCCTATGACAAAAAATGGAACACACCATCACAGTGTGTGAGGACAGACCTGAAAGTGGCACATGGCACATGAGTGTGGCGATTGGAGACAGCAGCAATGGGAGGCCGTACAGGGACCCATGAGATACCTCCTGGACCTGGCAGCAGCATGACGGAGGCGGTACAGGGGCCCATGGCATAGATTTACGGGCCTGGCAAGCAGCAATGGGAGGGCCGTAATCTGCCAGCCACCCTATGACAAAAAATGGAACACACACCAGCAGTGTGTGAGGAGACCTGAAAGTGGCACATGGCAGAGTGTGGCGATGGAGACAGCAGCAATGTGAGCCGTACAGGGACCCATGAAGACTCTGGACCTGGCAGCAGCATGATGAGGCGGTATAGGGGCCCATGGCAGATTATAACGGGCCTGGCAGCAGCTATGGGAGGCCCGTAATCTGCCAGCACCCTATGTCAAAAAATTGAACACAACCCAGCAGTGTGTGAGGAGACCTGAAAGTGGCACATGGCAGAGTGTGGCGATGGATGACAGCAGCAATGGGAGGCCGACAGGGACCCATGAGAGACTCTGGACTTCGCAGCAAGCAATGAGGAGGCGGTATAGGGGCCCATGCACATTAGATTAGGGGCCTGGCAGCAGCTATGGGAGGCCCGTAATCTGCCAGCACCCTATGACAAAAAATTGAACACACCACAGTGTGAGGAGACCTGAAAGTGGCACATGGCATGAAACACTGTGACCTGGCAGCAGCATGAGGAGGCGGTACAGGGGCCCATGGACATGAGATTAGGGGCCTGGTCAGCAGCTATGGGAGGCCCCGTAATCTGCCAGCACCCTATGACAAAAAATGGAACACACACCAGCAGTGTGTGAGGAGACCCTTGAAAGTGGCACATAGGCAAGTGTGGCGATGGAGACAACCAACCGACTTGTTTTGCTCGCTGGCAAGCTGCCACCCCTTCTTCTCTCCTGATGATGCGGAAGCAATAAGCCCGATGACGACGAGGCTGCCAAGTGCGATCAGCCTCATCATCATCAATTAGGGTCTCCGCCCTCACTACTAGCCCCCTCGGCTGCGTGTGGGTCAGGAGACAGACCTGTCTCTAGACCGGCTACCGAAGCCACTCTCCTCGCCACTACTTCTTCGCCTGGCTGCTGAAGAGGCGGATGTCTCCCCCCATTCCTGACCGCCCTCTGTTTAGCTCTTCCTCACTGTACTAGATGGACACCGGGAGCACTGGCCTCCTGGCTGCGAATAGTGCTGCCTCGACCCCTTTCCTCCCCTGCCACGTCTGCTCGCTCCTAAAACATTGCCTCCTCTGCTGCACTCCTCTGCATGTTGTCTGACATACTCTTTAATTCAACGATTCTGTGTCCCCTGAGTAACAATTCTGTGTCTGTACCTGAGTAACAATTCTGTGTCCCTCAGTAACAATACCTGTGTCCCTCAGTAACAATTCTGTGTCCCCTCAGTAACAATTCTGTGTCCCTGAGTAACAATTCTGTGTCTGTCCCCTGAGTAAGAATTCTGTGTCTGTCCCTGAGTAACAATTCTGTGTCCCTAAGTAACGTTTCATGTGGCCCTAAGTAACGTTTCTGTGGCCCTAAGTAACGTTTCTGTGCCCTAAAGTAAACGATTCTGTGGCCCTAACTCGTAACTTTTCTGTGCCCTAAGTAACGGTTCTGTGTCCCTCAGTAACAATTATGTATCCCTCAGTAACAATTCTGTCAGAGTCTGTCCCTAAGTAACGATTCTGTTGCCCTAAGTAACGTTTCTGTAGCCCTAAGTTAACAGTTTTCTGTAGCCCTAAGTAACGTTTCTGTGGCCCTAAGTAACGTTTCTGTGGCCCTAAGTAACGGTTTCTGTGGCCCCTCAGTAACAAATCTGTGTCCCTCAGTAACAATTTCTGTGTCTGTCCCTAAGTAACAATTCTGTGTGGCCCTAAGTAACGTTTCTGTGGCCCCTAAGTAAGGATTCTGTGGCCCTAAGTAACGATTACTGTGGTCGCCCCTAAGTAACGGTTCTGTGGCCCAAATTAAGTAACGGTTCTGTGGCCCTCAGTAACAATTCTGTGGCCCTCAGTAACAATTTCTGTGTCTGTCCATAGTAACAATTCTGTGGCCCTAAGTAACGTTTCTGTGGCCCCAACTAACGATTCTGTGGCCCTAAGGTAACGTTTCTTCTGTGGCCCTAAGTAACGTTTCTGATAGGGCCCTCAGTAACAAATCTGTGTCCCTCAGTAACAATTCTGTGTCTGTCCCTAAGTAACAATTCTGTGGCCCTAAGTAACGTTTCTGTGGCCCTAAGTAACGGTTCTGTGGCCCTCACTAACAATTCTGTGTCCCTCAATAACAATTCTGTGTCTGTCCCCTAAGTAACAATTCTGTTGGCCCTAAGTAACGTTTCTGTGGCCCTAAGTAACGTTTCTGTGGCCCTCAGTAACAATTCTGTGTCCCCTCAGTAACAATTCTGTGTCTGTCCCTAAGTAACAATTCTGTGGCCCTAAGATAACGTTTCTGTGGCCCTAAGTACAAAGGATTCTGTGGCCCTAAGTAACGTTTCCTGTGGCCCTAAGTAACGTTTCTGTGGCCCTCAGTAACAAATCTGTGTCCACTCAGTAACAATTCTGTGTCTGTCCCTAAGTAAACAATTCTGTGGCCCTAAGTAAACGTTTCTGTGGCCCTAAGTAACGGTTCTGTGGCCCTACAGTAACAATTCTGTGTCCCCTCAATAACAATTCTGTGTCTGTCCCTAAGTAACAACTTTTCTGTGGCCCTAAGTAACGTTTCTGTGGCCCTAAGTATCACGTTTCTGTGGCCCTAAGTAACGATTCTGTGCCCTCAGTTAACAATTCTGTATCCCCTCAGTAAACAATTCTGTGTCTGTCCTCTGAGTAACAATTCTGTGTCCTAAGTAACGTTTTCTGTGGCCCTAACTAACGATTTCTGTGGCCCTAAGTAACGTTTCTGTGGCCCTAAGTAAAACGTTTCTGTGGCCCTCAGTAACAAATCTGTGTTCCCTCAGTAACAATTCTGTGTCTGTCCTAAGTAACAAATTCTGTGGCCCTAAGTAACGTTTCTGTGGCCCTAAGTAACGGTTTCTGTGGCCCTCACTAACAATATTCTGTGTCCCTCAATAACAATCTGTGTCTGTCCCTAAGTAACAATTCTGTGGCCCTAAGTAACATTTCTGTGGCCCTAAGTAACGTTTTCTGTGGCCCTAAGTAACAGATTCTGTGGCCCTCAGTAACAAATCTGTGTCCCTCAGTAACAATTCTGTGTCTGTCCCTAAGTAAACAATTCTGTGGCCCTAAGTAACGTTTCTGTGGCCCTAAGTAACGATTCTGTGGCCCCCATCAGTAACAAATCTGTGTCCCTCAGTAACAAATTCTGTGTCTGTCCCTGAGTAAACAATTCTGTGTCCCTAAGTAACGTTTCAGTGGCCCTAACTAACGATTCTGCTGGCCTAAGTAACGTTTCTGTGGCCCTAAGTAACGTTTCTGTGGCCCTAAGTAACGATTTCTGTGGCTCTAACTAACGTTTCTGTGTCCCTAAGTAAACGTTTCTCTGTCCCTAACTCTCTCCCTGAATACAGCCAGGTCTGCCTCTGTTGAATGACTGGAGGCAAATGGAGAATTCTAAAATGGCCGCCATTTATAGCTCGACCATTACACTGTGCAGGCTGGCTGGCTGCTGATTGGCTAAATGCGATCACATGTCATGAATGAATGCATTATGGGTCAGCGCGCCTTGTCTGCGCGCCTTCCCAGACATCCCCGCTCCGTCGCCGCACATGTCGCCGCCATTTTAGGAAAAATTTCGATTCGCGCATCCGAAGTCTACTTATTTTCGGATTCGACGCAAATCGAAATTTTCCTAATATACGAAACGAATTCCACTTCGCCTACTTCGATTCGCTCATCTCTACATATGACGCCCTCCCACTTTAACCGTTTGTGCACGGCTCCGGGAGCACGCAGCGCGGCGATCTGTGGTGCGCTGTGTCCCTCAGACACAGTGGATCACCGATCACAGAAAGAGCCGAAGATGTCGGCTCAGTCATGTGATCAGCTGTGTCCAAATCACAGCTGATCGCATGTAAATAGGGAAATGCCGGTTATCGGCATTTTCTTTCCTCACGAGCTGTCACACTGACAGCTTGTGAGGAGAGCTGGTAATCGAGCATTCTCAGAGGGGACAATGCACACTGATCATCAGGGGCACTGATGATCAGTGTGCCCTGATGATCAGTGTACCCCCAGCAGCGCCACCTGTCATTGTCCATCAGTCACCAGCTCTCAGTGCTCATCCATGCCACCTGCTAGTGCCCATCAGTGCCACATCAATGCCACATATCAGTGCCCATCTGAGCTGCCTTTCATTGTCACCTATCAGTGCCAGTCAGTGCCACCTAATCAATGCCAGTCAGTGCTGCCAATCAGTGCTGCTAATCAGTGCCACCTATCAGTGCCAGTCAGGTGCTGCCTATCAGTGCCCATCAGTGCTACCTATCAGTGCCACCTAACAGTGCCTGTCAGTGCCCACCTAACAGTGCCACCTATCAGTGCCAGTGCTGCCTTTCAGTGCCCATCAGTGATGCCTGTCAATGCATGTCAGTGCCACCTACCAGTGCCTCCTCATCAGTGCCCATCAGTGCCACCTATCAGTGCCCATCAGTGCAGCCTATCAGTGCCCATCACCATAGCCTCATTAGCACACATCAGTGAAGGAGAAAAATCACTTATTTACATTTTATCACAAAAACATAAGAAAAAACATTTTTTTTGAAAAATTTCAGTTGGTTTTAGTTTTTTTTAGCACAAAATAAAAAACCCAGAGGTGATTAAATACCACCAAAAGAAAGCTCTATCTGTCTCAAAAAAAATATAAAAATTTCATATTGGTACAGCGTTGCATGACCGTGGAATTGTCATTCAAAGTGTGACAGCGATGAAAGCTGAAAAATTGGCCTGGGCAGGAAGGGGTATAAGTGCCCTGTAGGCAAGTAGTTAAGGAGAGAAGACATTGCTTCTACTTTTATGTTGAAACTCAAAGCACTGAATATAAATACCTGTCATCATTATTAGATAATATTGTCCCTCGTCAACATACTGGTTTTTTTTTATACTAAACAATGTTAGCCTGGTCTAGTGTTCTGTTCAAATTTACAAATCTAATGGTCACATTGGGATTTATTTACTAAAACTGGAGAGTGCAAACTATGGTGCAGCATTTCACAGAAACCAGTCAGCTTCAGTTGTCAAAGCTTAATTGAACAAGCTGAAGTTAGAAGCTAGAGAAACAAGTGTTAGAAGCTGATTGGCTTCCATGCACAGCTGCAACCAGATTCTGAGTGTTCCAGTTTTAAAGTAAATCTCCCCATTGACTCTCATGTCTGTCACTAGGATGAGGACAAGGTTAAGTGTAAGTTGTGTAGTGACAGATGGAGGTGTGATGCTACGTTTCCCCTTTCTTTCTCACAGAAATAATCTCCCACAGGAACCAGACTGTGCCTCCATTATGTTACTGTGAATCCAGTGTAACTAGACATACTGTCAGCGTCATGAGAAACACGGTCACTGAATGAATGAGGGACGTTCACTGCAACATGTCTGCATTCCCCTTTATCATAATGAAGGGCAAAGGGTGAGTCAGAACAAAGTGGAAGATTAAACTGTGAACTGACAATGGATCAATAGGAGAGACACATGGAGAATAGTGAATATAAGTCCTAACGAAAAATTAATGAGGGTCTTATGGGATCATGGGAATACCGAAACATTGTAGTGCTGAGTCAAAAGACTTCTTTAACAGAAAGGGAACTCAGATTGAATATCCGCATGTACATGAAAGGACAGGAAGAACGAAGAAAGGAGTGTGGGTCAATTGTTATAGTGGGATGTGTCTTTGATCCTTCTAAACAAGGCCCATCTTGGCTGTTTACAATTTCATGTCTGAAAGACTTACACTGTTCAACAGGTAAAAAGTTTTGGGCATAAAATTAGCTAATCTTACATAATTTTGGGGTGCTGAAAAACGAAAATGACCCTAAAAAAAATGTTGATTGGGCTCTAGTTTCCATGATATATTCACCCATCTAATGACGTAAGCCATTCAAAATTATGATGCAACTTCAGCTGCATATTGCGCAATGTGATACTGGTGACCAATAGAAAAATTGCATGTATACTGAGATGATGCAATATTAGCCTTTAATTGCATCACTTCACACTGCATAAAAGCTGCAGTATCTGTACTGATTGTAGTTCGACAGCGGTGTTTACATTTCGTTTTATGCTTATATAGGCTACTCAGTAATGGCCTCGAACTTGTGTGAATAAAGCAGATAATTATCTGCATATATCTGCGGTGAAATAACTTTTATCTCACAAAAAAGGAGGATAACGCAGGAATGATTAAGAAAGCCTACAACTTGTATTTTGGCTGCAAGATAGAGACCAGGACAAGAGCTGGGCACCACATATATGCTGCAATTCTTGTGGGACGTGCACTGGGCAATGGTTGAATGGAAAAAAGGCATCTATGCCTTTCCTCCCCCGCGCTGTGCCAATGATTTGGAGAGAGCCAACAGATCATGTTAGTAATTGTTACTTTAGTGTATGGTGCCTCCAATTGTAAAAGGGCTAAATAAGAAGAAAAAAGTTATCTGTGCACTATCCAAATATTCCATCGGCAATACTCCAGTTCCTCATGGAGAGGGGCTACCAATTCCTAAAGCACCAGAATCCTTCGTGGTTGAGTCAAAAGTGAGGAAGAACCTGAAGCGTGTAGTCACGTGCAGTTGTAAGAGATAGCCCTTACTTCCTCGAATACAAGAGAAAAGCCAAAGAGAAGCAAAACCGACACAAACTGCGAAGACAAAACTAGTGAGAATCCTAAGTATTAAAATGATTCAACTTAGCTTAAGGCTATAAATTTTTCTTGGTAATCCTATGCAATATATTATGCCATTTAGGCTTTGTTATGTAGTCAATATCACTTGCTTTATATTTGTGGAAAGACATCTATCTATATAATATTGTGCATTATGTAGTCATTACGCCTATAGTAGAAAACTTTCCGTTTACAGAAAAAACATAGGGCCAATTGACAAATTTCATTGTTATATTTGAACTCAGAATGTGAAATTCATTAAGAAATGGATCCTTTTGTTTCCAAAACTGGCAAAAAATAAAAATTTGTTGAACAGTGTTATCTTAGCAATCGTTTCGTACAATGTGCTTTGCCTTGGCTTGAATCAAGAGTGTAAGCGTTAAAGGATCATTCCACTCAAAATGGATGTTTCTGCTTTAGGTAGTTGCTGGAGAGTTAAACCAACTGATAGTTTTTTTCTTTTTTTTATAAATCGCATGGGGATTCTGATGGTGACATATCTGCACTTGAATTTCATTAATTCCTGGCACAAAGTAGCACAAGATTAAAGTTGCTTATGCAAGCTTTAGCCCTGAGGGTCCTGTTCTTTCAGATGAGTGTATTCCAGTCTGTACCACCTGTCTGTTTTTTTTTGTGGATCTGAACAGAAGCTCAATGTTTAGTTTATGGGCGGGTGGTTGTAAATGGATGTGCGTCAGTTTATAAATCCAACTACCTCTGTGGTTCATATAGGGTCTCGAAAAAAAAAGGGAAAAGGTTTAGGTTCTTTCCATTTTTTTTAGACATAAACACGGACACGATTGGAGGCAAGTGGATGTAAATGTGTCTGCACATCCATATACATGTGGCTGTCTATAGGCTAACATGGGTTTGTTAAGCTCCAGAGACAGAGAAAAGAATGGACACGGATGTCACTAATGTTGCATCTGGTCTGTTCTGCACTGATTCAGCAGAGGATTTCATCCAGGAATCCTCTGTTGATTGTAATGGACACAGACAACTATGTGAAAAGGGGGCTAAACAATAATTCCATACTTACAGGCTGCCAAATCCGTTGCTGACCATATTTGTGCTTGTAATCAGACAGTAAAAAATACCATTGAAAATCCAGTTCACATCTAGTCTATTTATTTTGTTTGCCAATCCCTGATGATGGGGATGGTTTTTTGGACTTCCGAAATGCACTGGTTACTCCTTTGATTGTTCCTCGAGACCGTTATTGGAATAAAGTTGTATCTGCCTATTTTAGGCAGTGATGTAGCGATTCAGTTTACATTTTTATTACTTTATTCTTTCAGGGACTAACTTATAAGGAAGCCAATGCTCACATTTGGAATGGCAAATCATGTGATTCAACAGATAAGACCCCATAGACTGGAGATATGTTCTACAAATCTTCAACTAGTCCACTGACTTGAACATTCCTTGGCAAAGATGACCCTGAACTGACTAACTGGATTAATCCTTTAGATTGTCAGCTCCACGGGCAGGACCCTCACATTTCTTCTCTGCTGAAATGTATTCTAATTGTACTGTCTCCCTTATATTGTAAAAAAGTGCTGTGCAAACTGTTGGTGCTATATAAATATTGTATAATAATAATTATAATAATAATATTCTTATTATAAAATTCTATTAGGGCTCATCGTGCACATGGGAACATTCGCCTGCACAATGTAAACACCTTGGGGCAGTGGGCGGACTGACCATCTTGTGAAACTCGGGGCACTGCGCCGAGGGCCCGGGGTCAGTAGGGGAGCCCCATGAGATGCCCCTGGTACCTTTTTCATAGGCATTTATTGAGTTTTGGGCAAGGACACAGGGGCCCCCATGATCCCCTATTTTGCTCGGGGGGCCCCATGAGTTGTCAGTACCGCCCCTGCTTTCTTTTTTTTAGGGTTGATTTACTAAAGGTAAATATACTGTGCACTGCAAGTGCAGTTGCTTTATATCCGAGGGGAAGCTCTGAAATGAAGGGAAGCTCTGCTGATTTCTTTTCTTCCTAACATGTGCAAGCAAAAATGCTATTTTTTTTAATTTACCCTTGCATGTGCCCCTCAGAGTGAATCTATAACAACTGCACTTTCAGTGCACTTGGAATGCACTTGCGGTACACACAGGCTATTTGCCTTGGTACATCAACCCCAATGGCGCTTTATTTGTTCTGGTGCTGCATACAGCCACCCATAGACATGAATGGGTGAAGATAGCTGTATGAAGGCAATGCACCATCTACTATTCATAAACGGGGTGGTCAAATGCCCACAAACGTAATGTTTCTGAATCCAGAGTGTGTTGTTCAGAAACATTTATATCTCATTTTAATGTCAGGCAACAGCGAGTAGCTGCATACGCAGCCCCCCAAAAAC